AACATCGACCAGACTACACAGCGCAACAACCCAGAAGACGGAAATCTAAATAGCTTTTATTTATTTTTTATAATAAGCCTAATTTTGTAGTGATGGGTTCTGAATAATAACATGGTACTTGGTGGAACTTCATTGAAAACCTGAGAACTTTCAGAATAATGTTGCATTGAAGCGTAGTAAGTTTCTCCTTCTCTCTTCCCTGTACTATTGTGGTTTCTGCAGATTTCAACCTGTCACATACCACAGTCTTAATGTGTGCTTCCTAAGTGCATTAACAATATATAATTAGGCATATATTATGTTTTACCCAGTATTCTCAGTGATGAAAAGTGGTCACGGGACAGGTTTTTTTGTGTTAACGAAGTTGTGTAAATACCCAATGTTGTTACCAGTTTCAGGAAATGCAGGGCGCTCCCAATGGTTCGGGCATCCCTCGTCCCCCAATCACACTGCGTCTCATTGTACCAGCATCACAGTGTGGTTCCCTCATCGGCAAGGGAGGTTCTAAGATCAAGGAGATTCGTGAAGTGACCGGAGCATCAATACAGGTGGCATCAGAGATGCTGCCCAACTCAACTGAACGAGCGGTGACCATCTCTGGCACCAGTGAGGCCATCACACAATGCATCTACCACATCTGTTGTGTTATGCTCGAGGCAAGAATTGCTATACTGAACAATTTTATCAGTCCCTACGTGTTTTTGTAGTCGTATAGTTAGAATGAAGGCAGGGTGGGATGAGAACTAGGATTTGTGAATACATAAAAAGTCCTTATTCATGAAATGATGTTAGTCAGACGCCATTATTATCTGAAATTGGTTTTATATTATCTCTCAACAATCATATACGTCTATTGTTTGGTGTGAATTCTGTAAGAGGAATTATATTTAGTATATTTCCCTTGATGAATTAAATTAGATGTTTCAGCCTTTATCCATTTCTGTCTGTTGCATCATTGCTTGAACTTACAACACACTTTTAGATGATTTCCCAGTTCCATATTATAATTAGATAGTGTCAAGTCTCTCTTAGTATTCTCTCAGTGTCATGATATGTACTGGTCATTCACAAATGTTTTCTTAAGTAACTCTCTTGGTAGCAAATTTACTACTTTCATATATATCACCTTACAAATGTATTCATCAATTCCTTTGCCATTGGTAATTTCTCTTCTCATATGAGGAATTTCTGTTTCAGAATGCAGCAGATTTCTTTATGTTTATACCATCACACAGACGTCTGTTTCTCCATGTGTCAAAACAGTCTTTTTCAAGTTAATACTATATATATAGTCCTTGAAAATGGTTTTGTATCTTGGAAGTGTTCCATTTCACATAAGATTTATCTTGTGTAGATGGACATCTCCATGGATACTTTACCGACGCATGTGCTTTGCAGACAAACCACACTTGCATACCTTCTTTCGAATACCACAATCTACATATTCGGTAACCATTTCCAGTGACTCTTCATAGGAATTCCACATACTTATATAGAATATGACTGCACAGTCTAAATGAGTATTTGCGTGAATGTGACATGCACATTTAAAAGAACAATATGCCAGCAGGTTGCCTTGAATTTGTAATGTCTTCTAAACTTCAGCACTAGTTTGTGCGTTAGCAACTTGCTTACCAGTGAATATAGATATTAAAGTCTGTACATATATTTTGCCACGAGACCTAGCCCCTTGTCTTGGAAATGTTATTAACAATAATTAATATTTTTGTTCAAATTGTGTGAACGTATTAGTGTCTTAACATATTTTGCATAAATAATTGTAATTAATGGAAAACAGAGAAAAACCACATGTGGAGGAATGCAAGATTATGAATGACTGGGATTATTATTCCAGCTGTACATGTACATCACTTTTGGCCTAGGGTTTAGGAAAAATTTAATGCTTGGTTTCTCCCACAGAGTGTACAAATTTCAGAAATCCATGTTGCATTATTTTCTTCTTCTTCTTCTTGTTGCAGTCCCCTCCTAAAGGTGCCACGATTCCCTATCGTCCCAAACCCCAAGTGGCTGGGCCAGTCATCCTAGCTGGCGGACAAGCTTATACTATCCAGGGTAACTATGCCGTGCCTGCCCATGCCGACGTAAGTACAATGCCCTTGTTCCCGGGCTTGGCTCCGGTTGCTGCCGGACACACCCCGTTGGGCCTGCCCCCCTCCCCACTCCTCCATACCGCGGGGCTGGCGGCAGATCCGCTGCTGAAGAACGGACACTTGCAAGCTGCATTACCGCCCGCGCATCTGCACATCTATAGTTATAATTCCCCCACCTCACCCCACCTGACATCTTTGTGCAAATGCTAAATGAAGGAAAAACTTGTGAGTAGTCAATACCACGTGTGTGGTAACTAATGTTGAGTCATATGAGTAACTGCAGGGATCTGGCAAACCAGGTTTTTCCTTCAGGTTTATGTTGCTGCAGCTTCCAGGGTGTGGTGCAGCTAACATCTGCTTGCTAATCTTATGTTGCCCTGGGACCTGGAGCTTGTTAATTTATTAGTTTTAGGTGCAATCTCCCATCTGTTTGCATGTTTCATCCCGATCGCCTTGCGTTTGATAGTAACATTCTAAAGAATAATTCCCTGGGTGTGGAATCGAGATGCAAACTGTTCTTCTTATCACGTACCAATGTCTTGAAACTGCTTTGAATGGAAATACGTGTTTCAGGGTGATGGTTACTTCTTGTGCAATTTTATTACTTCTCACCAGACAAAAAAAAACTTTGCTTTATGCTGCTTTTAATAACGAGAGAAAAATATATTAATTCTACCAATGTTTATGGCATGAAATTTCTTGTGTCCACAAAATATACCTATAGGCCTTCATATATTGCACTTCATTGCAATGACTCATTTTGTATTTGTTTATCTGTGATATCTTCTTGTTCGGAATAAAATGATCAGAATTCCTGTAACTTCTCTATAATAAGGTTTTATGGAAGACTGAGGCCATGCTAATGAACTGCAGCCAGGAGTTTGCACCTCTTTTCATATTTGTGTCTTCCTTTTTTACCCTCTCGTTTGTACAATTTTAGGGGATGCCAGACTAATATGCACTAGGATCTGGTTTATGTGTGTAACTTATTTTAATATTTGGAAGGAAAATTGTGTTCTCTTGTGTAGTTGGTGTGGCATCCGTGGACACACTGTCTTACTCAAACACCCCTTATTTGGTTTCGTGCAGTAGTTGGAGAAGTTGGCTTACTGTGTTGTCATGTAAGCTTATGAATCTTTTTTCTTGCAATGAACATTTTTCTGGTTAAACATTCTGCTGCTTTGTTGGAGCTCCTCTTCTGGCACTCAGTTCACCTAATCCATGCAGGTCCGCCTCTGTATTCCTGTGACCGAAAATTTTATACATGGGGAAACAAGTAACATAGGCCTATATCGTGCATGGCTTTTTCCATGATCTTTTTTGCACACCATCTCTTGTTTGTTCATGGCACGAGAAATTTTAAGTGGGGTAAAATTTATTTACCTGTTCATTAAGGCGATTGCACTGACCTCAGAGGGGAGGGGTCACCCAACGGGGTTGCCCGATCAACAGCCTGTGCAGGCCAGGATATGACACTCTAGATTTCTAGTTTCTGCTCATGTAAGTGTCCACACTTCTGTTTGTTGTGTCCCCCTGACATCTGTTGCCCTGCGTATTTGTAAACTTGCTTTAAACATTTCAGATCAGGTAAGCATAGGCAAGTGCATGCTCCTTTCTGTAGAACTATCATTTTACGTTGAGCAGAGGAGCTGTTGCCGGAAAAGTCTGCATGCAAGTTGTTCCCAGAGGAAATTACTACATGAATGAGAGTTCTTGCGTGGTCATGTAACCATGTTAGTGAGACCTTTCCAGTCCAGTATTGATGTGGTAAACATTTAATGGACATAATGTAACTATTTATATCAACAAGTGTGCTGAAAATTGGTTTTTAATGTCTTTGCCATCTGTGTGTTTTACAGGTAATATCTGCATGTTCCTTTAGCTGTTATATTTGAGGAAAGTGTTGTTTTAGTTTTAAATATATCGAGAGTAAGTTCAGATCTTAGAGTTGTCAGACGTTAATTGAAGCGTAATTTTATCGCAATGTGTTTGGAATGAAAAGTTCCTTCTTGTGGTGTCTGGAATAATCGGGTTTTACTGCCGACGAAAGAACAAGGTGCGATCTGCACCAAAAGTTTAAATTTTTTTTTTTTACACAAGTACAGAATAGTTTCCATATGTTCCAACATTTGAGTGAAGAAAATAGTTATTTCTAACCCTAAACTATCAAATCTGAAGGTTTGTCATGATGGTGAATTATTTAAATAAACTTGCTAAACATCACCCGTCATACTAATTTTAATTAAATGCGATGTTCAGAGACTCGGTTAGAACCTGCACTGTTGGGCTCAATCAGTGGAGCTAGTCTTTATTTCCAGGCGCATTTGTCACAAACTTATAGGTCTGGAAATAAGGACTAGCTCCACCAATTGAGCTCAACAGAGTAGTTTTTACCTGATAGCAGAGACAGGTTCCAGTCTCCAAAGTGCTTAAATTACAATTCTGACAATATTTGTATCACTTTTTTAATGTGTGCCAATCCATGTTTTGAAATACTTGGGACTCAGTGATGTTCCAGTATGCAAAACTTACCGTTCTCTACCTTCATCATTGCGCTGTTGACCTAACCAGTTTAGTTGAGTGGTCAGTGTGTGAGGGAAGTAGAGCAAAGAAATCTGTAGCCTGTTCAAGTATAAGAAGTTTGTGTTGGTGACTGGACTGTTATTTGCAAAGCTGCAGCAGTCATTTAGGAAGAGTGCGGGCCGCACATGTGTACCACCTCTGTGAAAAAAACTAGTTAACAACAATTTTATTTTTGTTTCTAAATTCACAAAATTGCGGTACATACTTTCTGTGAAGTGTGAAGTTATACTAGCAAGTCATGGAAGTTGTATATTAAATTAGGAGTTTTATGGATGAAGTATGAAGAAGTTCTGCTGTCAGAACTCGAATGATCCTCCTGACCTCTTTTGTGACATTTTGACGTCACTACCATCTCCTTCATAAAGAAGGTGGGACTAAGTTTAACTATTGTATTTCGTCAGGTTTCCAAATGTTATCACACGTAGAACAAACCTGCATCCTGCAATTTATTTGGCATGAACACAATCTTGTCTTCGTATCTTACAAGATAATTATTGTACATTACTTTAAAGATGTTGTATTTGGTGTAGACTTTTATTTGTTTTAAGGATTGTTCATGTTGTAGACCAGTTTTTATAAGAAACCATTACATGCCGAAGGCAAGAGGAGTTAGTGGGGGCTGATAGTATATGATTAAAGAATTGTTTTGTTTTTTGTCCTAACAAGCTTTCTGTTTTGTTAACATTGTTGCAACCCAACTACTTTTTATTTTTAAAAGTGTGGACATTTACATGGTTGTGTTATTTTAGTATTATGATGTAGTATGGAACTTTTCTAGCCCTAGCCTTCGTTTTTATCCGCCGAGAACCTCTCCTTACTGCCAGAAGCAGTGGATAGATAACTATAAGTTGTAGAGGTTAAGGAAGTGAAACATTCTGCACTGACACAGAATGTAAGAAGCTGTGGGAAAGGAGTACAGGTGCCATCTACAGTCATATTGGTAGTTGTGTGCGTGAGAGAGTATAGGTGCGCGAGTGTGTGGATGTGTGTATATGTATATAAAAAATTTAACTCGCATTGCCTTGAGACTGTGTACAAGGTGCACTTAGTTTTTATGACTTTGAAAGACAATTTCACAGCAGTAGTGTCATATTAATTTGTAAGTTTTCATTGGAATTTGCTGCTTTTACTGTAAAGAGAATAGGTGTGAATTCAGATATATGCTGTGGTGTTGATGTATTACTCCTTCACTTAGGTACAATTTTATGGGTGCTTTTTCAGAATTTCTTCTGTTAAAACCACCATGAAACTGAATACATCCTAATGTTACTACAAAATTGTACATTGTATTACTAGAATCAGGGCCCTCTTATTCACTGCATAGATAACAATACAGATTTGATGCATTCCGTTCTGGCTGTGAAATGTAGCTCAAGGTTTAGACTTTGTTTTTCTGATGCTCTTCAAATTTTTAAATGTAAATCATGTAAGTCAGTCTCTTGGTTATGTGATAGCACAGTGTACGTCTGTGTGTTGTGTACACATGGTTGATTTGTGAGGATGACATAAATGGATTAAAACTCTCCAGAAATGTAGATGTCAGAACTCTTCTTTTCGCCAATGACCAAGTCCTGATAACTGATTTCAGAAATTTCATTACAGAAATCGGTACAAAAAATTTGTAATGGTGGCTTCAAAATATAACTTAGTTGTCTACAGGCAAGACCAAAACCATGGCATTTAAAGGGCGAGATCCCATCAGATTCAAGATAGAAATAAATAGCACAATCATACAACAAATTAATATATTTAACTATCTTGGATGTACGCTATCATATGAAACAGAAAAAGGATCTCACAGTAAAATCATCAAAATATTTACAAGTTACAGGCATCATTAATCAGATCTTTAAACCCTCTAAAACCCGAACCGAAACTAGATTGAAAATATATAAAACTTTGGCCACACCTCCACTTCTGTGGATTGTGAAACCTGGGCAATAGAACAAAGTGACAAGTCAAGAATCACAGCATTAGAGATGAAGTTTTTAAGAAAGACGGCCAAATACACATGGAGAGATCATAAACGGAATGAAGACATCCACAAAGAGCTGCAAACAGAACCAGTATTACAAAAAATCACAGATACAGAAGGAATATCCAACTGTACGAAGAATGGATAAGGGCAGATTGCCGCATCTAATTTTGGAACACAAACCAATAGGAAGAAGAAATAAAGGATGCCCTTTAAAAAGATTCCTGGACGATTGAGGCCGGAGAGGGTCACGAGTCCCAGAATCCTTGATAGATGACGATGATGATGACACTGCTCAGTTATATCAAGACTTTTGGGCATACAGGATAGAATTATATCAATTCTTGTATTAATATGTCGAAAATATTACAGCTTTAGTTAGTTATGATGCAAATTTTTAAACAGTGTGGTGTATGGTCATATTTACCCTTTTTGTCTAGCCTCTAAGCCTACTGCATTTGGACATCCCTTGGGGTGCTTCGCAGAGTTGTTTGACAAGTCAGCTTCCTTCAGCTCTGTTTCATTAGTTTTGACGTCCCAGCTGTTCAGCAACCAAATTGTTCTGCCTCAACACATGTAGAATGAAGTTAACTTTTAGACTGACAGCTTTCTGTACGAATAAGTCGTCGTCTTTTCACATCAACTCAAGCTGCACTCTTCCAAGCTGATATGAATTCTTAAATGAACTCGTCACATTGGAGGTAGTGGATTGAAATTCAGTTCCTTTGTTAGAAACAAAACCTTTGATTCTAATGAAATCCCTCTAGGGAAGTCTTAAAATATAATTTTGCAGTACAGTGGTAGTGAAATGTTTTGAAAACATTTGAAATCTTGAGAAGTACGTCCATCTTGTATTATTTATATTTAAAACTTGTTGCTGTTTTTGTGATATGAGTGACTCAAAATTATAATGAGTGTCGGTGCAGATGTTTGACTTAATGGCGGAGATGTATGGAGATGCGCCATATTTGAATATTTCCAGAAGATGGGGATGGGCAATTCTCCACTGGCTGGCTTGGCAGCTCTTGGCTTGGGCGGCCTCAACACTGGCAACACAGGAGGCCTGAATCCTGCAGGTAATTGTGATTCTTTAAGTGTGCTACATGCAGTGTGGTTTGTTAATTTCAAACTTTTCCATGGCATAGTTTTGTTGAGGTTATAAAAGGAAAGGGAAAGCTAGATAAGAAATTAGGTTAATTTGATGTCTAAATCTGAATAATTGTTATATATATATGCTCTATACATTTGTTAGAAATGGGCACTGTTGACTTTTTGTACACTCAGTTCCTTCCTACCCCCTTTTTTGTGTGAACTGTAATGCATTAGTGTGTGACGTATTCTGGTATTACAGTAAATCTTCTAAACTACAGTGTAGGGTATTATATTATTTTTGAAATACTGATACTTCATATATCTCATTGACATTACTGGTGCTATTTTGTTCCAGAAATAGCAACACAGTTAACTTATATTTGGGCTGGGGCCACGACTGTACAAAGTATGTCTGTTGCAACGGACATACTTTTGTACGGACGTAGGTGAGGACACCACAGAATGCAACGGCTTCTTCCGGCTCCATTGGGGCAACTGACGCATCACACTGCGCTCGTGTGGTGTCCTCGCCTACGTCCGTTGCAACGGACATACTTTTGTACGGACGTAGGTGAGGACACCACAGAATGCAACGGCTTCTTCCGGCTCCATTGGGGCAACTGACGCATCACACTGCGCTCGTGTGGTGTCCTCGCCTACGTCCGTTGCAACGGACATACTTTGTACGGTTGTGTGGCCCCAGTCTTAGCAGTAAATCTACTGATATTACTTTTCTTAACTGTATACAGAATTATTTCACTCATATTCAAAGAAAAATTGCTGGCCAAGAACAGAAGTTTTAATGTTTCCGATAGGTTATAAGTGATCCTTAAAGACTGAATATTACACTAAACTTGTGTGTGGTGGGGGTAGTTACCTTCTTAGTGTATGGATGATATTAATATCTGTAGTGGACAACATTTTAATTCTGTGATTATACTACGATGCCACTAATTTTAATGATAGTCAATAATTAATTGCATAGTTGAACATTTGTCTGCTGTATGATGTGAAGGGAACTTGAAGTTCGGGTGGGGATTAAATTCACGTCTTTCTGTAAATGTCATGCCCCTAATAGATAACAATTTTTTTTACGTTGCATATTTAACAAGTATGGTATTTCTTTGAGCAGTTTTATCTGTTGGCACAGCTCTTGCTGCCCTTGCTGGTAGCCAGCTTCGAACCAACAACCAAAACCGTAACCAGCCCGGAGCAAATCAGCAGACACATGAAATGACGGTTCCCAATGAACTGATTGGTTGCATCATCGGCAAGGGTGGCACGAAGATTGCGGAGATCAGGTGCGTTTGGTTGGAAAATGCTCGTTTCTTTGATATAGTTATGAGAAGCACACAGTAATAAATTGTTCCTGAAATGATATGTTCTGGCACAGTAGATGTTGCGTGCTTCTGAAATCTGGTTGCAGAAGTATGAATTTTAGCGTAACCCAGACTTGATTCTGGTTGTTTCTGTCTTTTGGAGATGCTGGAAGGTTAGATGATTTGATGTGATGAGCAGATCTGCCTGCATACTATAGGCATCAGTTAACTAATATGTAGCTGTCATATGTCAGTGGAGAAAATGTGAGGTTTTGAAGGTGATTAACTGACCTATGACCTCTTGTTCAATTTGCCTTACATACATATATCTGGCTTTGCAAAGAATAGTTAACAGGCCTGTTTTTACAACATTTATACAGAAGTAGTTTTTTTTGTAAGGTGTTGAATTTGTAATTGTTTATTAATGCACTTTATAATTTATGATGACGCTGTTTTTGTTTTGTTTTCAGGCAAATTAGTGGAGCCATGATTCGCATCTCAAACTGTGAAGAACGTGAAGGTGGCGCCACGGACAGAACCATCACAATCACAGGGAATCCTGATGCCGTGGCCCTGGCACAGTATCTGATCAATATGAGGTAGGAACACTTTGAGTATATTGTAGCCTAGCAGCACGGAGATCTGAGCAGGAGGAAAGCGGGACCCTGTTGTTTTATGCTGTTAAGTGGGTTGACTCTTGATATCATTGGCGCACTTCTGCATATTTTTGATTCCATGTAATGGGTCTGTGAACTGAAACAGTTGTGAATAATCTAAATGGGTACTGCATTGCGTGGAAATTGTTGATTTCAAACAATATATATCCACCTTTTAAAATTAAAGACTTCTTATTAACATCTGATTAAACCAGAGAGACTTCGTCCACTTGATTCTGGTGCTTACATGATTGTGAATATATATTTTTAAATATTACCTGC